TTTCCATTCTCAATGGTATCCTTATGCACAAGAATTTTAATTATAATGATGTCCAGTTTATCTGTTTTTTTCACTTGTTATTTATGCTGTTAATGTCCTATTTTAGAAACTGTTGCCTAATTATAAATCTGATTTTCTTCTGTTTTTCATCTAAAAGTTGTATAGCTTCAGTGCCTATATTCATGCTTTTATTAAATACATTCACATAGTTTTGTATGTGTGTGTGTGTGTGTATATATATATATATATATATATGTATCATAAATAAACATGGCGCTTCTTTCCTTTAGTGTGGGTATTTGGCTGTCTCAGCTCCAATCATTGAAATATCATTTTCCCATTGAATAGTCTTGTTAAAAATCAGATATGTCTGTCCTTATGCCATTTCCACACTGTCGTAACTCTTGTAGCTTTCTAGTGAGTTTTGAAATCAAGAGTGTGACTTCTCTAACCTTGTTCTTTTTAAAGGTTGTTCTGGCTGTTCTTGAACCCTTGAATTTACATTTTAAAATGAGCTTTCCACTCACTTTCTGTAAAAAGACAGTGAGTGGGCCACTGGGGATGTTACATAACCCTGACTCTAATCAGTTTAGGAAATATTGCCATCTTAACCTGAAGTCCTCCAGTTCATGAACGTGGGATGCCTTTCCATATATTCAGTTTTCTTTTTTTTCTTTCTTTCTCTCTTTTTTTTTTTTTTGACAGTACTTTGGAGTGTTCATTGCACAAACCTCATAATTCTTTGATTAAATTTATTCTTCAGAATTTTATTATTTTTGATGTAGTGTAAGTGAAATTGTGTTCTTGTGTTTGTATTGTTCATTGCTAATTTTCAAAAATAAAATTGACTTTGTGTCCTGCATCTTTGCTGAACTTGTATAGGTGCTGGTGGCTTCGTGGCTGACCCAGGGTTCTCTGTGAACAAGACTGGGTTTCTGAAGGAGCCTGAGTGCTGGGGTGGCTACGTTGCCAGGGCAAACGTCCTGGTTTCCGGTCCGAGCCCAGGAGAGCATGGACCGCTGTGGTCAGATGCTCACCACCAAGCAGGAGGCTCCCTGAGGGCCTTTTCTCCACTGGTGGAGCATGAGGTGTTTATCACTGAAGGGTTGGAGTTGCCTAGTTCTTAGTCGGCATCTGTTGAATGACTGTGGGGTTTGACCTGGAGTTGTGTGCAAGTGGGGAATTGTGTGAAACTGATCTTTTGTTCTAGGAGATGACTTACTTTTGTTTTTATTAAAATATTCTTTTGTAGCAGAGTAACTCAACAGTTGTCCTTCTTGGTTTTCTCATCTTAGGACAACCCATCATACAACTTTTGTTTGACCGAACTATTCAGAATTGATAGCAGCCTCACCAAAAAAATAAAATAAAATTTAGATTCTTCTGCTTTGTCATAATATGGAGAAACTTCATTTGGAGATTACAGTGATCCTGTGTACAGCTATGCAGTTCCTCTTACCCAGCTGGTTGCTATGTGTGTTTGGTGCAGGCTTTAGAGCAGGTATGTCAGTGTTTGTGGTTTCTGAACAAAGATGGTGCTCGTCTTGGGGTGATCTGCCCTAAAAGACATACTTAGATAAGATGCAGAGTTGCATGCCAGTTAACCCAGCAACTCAGGAGGCTGAAGCAGGAGGATCCCAAGTTTGAGGCCAGCCTCAGCAACTTATCAAAACCCTGTCTCAAAATTAAAAATAAAGGTGCTGGGGATGTGGCTCAAGCGGTAGTGCCCTGGCCTGGCATGCGTGCGGCCTGGGTTCGAACCTCAGCACCACATACAAACAAAGATGTTGTGTCCGCCGAAAATTAAAAAATAAATATTAAAAAATTCTTTAAAAAAAATTAAAAATAAAAAGGGCTGGGGGTGTAGCTCAGTGGTAGAGCACCCTGAGTTCAATTCCCTAGTACTGGGGGGATAAAACATACTTAGAAACTGTTGGTCTGTCTACTGATGGAACTTTCCCAATTTCCTTCACGTCACTGTATAACATCCAGAGCATTTCATGGTGGCACCCGTTGAACACATGGAGGTTCGCCAAGCCTCATGTCTGCAAGCAGAGACACTCCTTGTTCTGGATATGTAATAAGTTCCTCTTACAGAACTCGTGTGAGCAGGAACTTTCAGTGTTTTGTGTTTGTGTGTTTGTTTTTTGAAATTTCGTGAGTTACCTGTAAGACCCTTCAGTTTACGTACAGTCTGGTACATGCTGCAGAGCATAGGTTGTCGGCCTCACCCTTGGCCCACAGAGAAGAGAGAAGGCAGAGTTGGAGTGGCTGAGCTTGCTGGGTGGGCGGTGAGGACAGCCTGGGGACTGGGGAATGAGTCTCAGGGCTTGTTTGATTACTTAAGGTGGGGGGTGGCATTTTCTCCTGGAGATGGGAGTGACCTACAAGAGTAAGGGGGGAGGTGCAGGGTGGGGTGCCCTGGGACCATGTCCTTGAGGGGCAGGTAGGACTCCCTTGCCACAGAAGTGAGGGACCATGCTGCTGCAGGCCTTGTGTGGTGGTGGAGGATACGGTGGTTCTTTTCTGTAAACTTTGATTTTTCAGTGAAATAAGCAGGAAGTGAGTTGGGTGGCTAGGGTGTAGGGATTGGGGGAGGAAGAAGAAAAGGGTGAGATGCTCATTGGGAGGTGGGGGCGGAGCAGTGCTCCAGGGGCACCCAGAGGCCCCAGGAGAGTCTCAGGGTTGAGCAGGTTGGACAGTGCTTTGAAGAGCCACCGCCTGGACTTGCCAGGCCTCAGAGCAGGGAAACGCAGGGAGTGTTAGAGGAGAGGAAAGGCTGGGAGCAGACTAGGGTCAGCAGATCCACGTGGGCACAAGAGTCCAGGTGGAGTGACTAACATGGGAAGGACTAGGGGAGACCTGGCTGCTTATGGAAATATGATGATGTGCAAACGGACATGGTGCCCAGCATGCACCAGTGAGCTTCACGGAGTTCAGGAGCTTTGCCCGCAGAGTGAGAGCCCATTACTTGAAGTGCATCAAGGCCTCAGGCCCTTCCCTCCCAGCTCTGCCCTGTGGGCCCCTTTTCCTGGTGCTGAAGGTGATGAAAGTGGAGCTGTTCTGCGCACACCCTGAGCACTGTCTTCCTGATGGCAAGAGGTTGCTGCTGTGTGGGGTTCCACTGTGAGAGTCTGCCACGGCTTGTGCACGTCTTTTTACTCCCTGTGAACACCTTGCCTGGTTTCAGTGCGACACATATGCTGATCGGGTGGCCGTGTGTCTGGGTGGGTTTTCCAGGTTCTGGGATAAGCATGTTGGGCTTTATTGGATATTGCCAGAGAGCTTTCAAAAAGGCCGTGCGGATTCCCAATGCCAGGAGCAGTCCAAGGATTTGATGTGGTCTGGTTTCCACCCTTTCTGATGACTGCATGATGTTGTCTCAGCGTGGCTCTTACTTGCCTTTCCCTGGCAGCTGAAGGGGTTGCAACCATTTCACATGCTTGTTGACCTAAAATGGCCTTGAGGACACCCTGCAGGGAAGTGAGTAGAGGCTGGTAGGAGTGAGGCAATGTAGGACTCGGCCCCCACAGTCCTGCCGAGGGCTGTTTGGGTCCTCAGAGTTGCCTTTGTGTCAGGAACTACTTGGGCACTTGCCAAGATGCGTGTGGAAATAACCACTCAAGCCAGCTAGAGAGGATAAGGAGGAGATGAAACTGACAGAGACTGGTACCTCTCATCTGTCATGGGTTCATTTCATGCTGACAATGACTTGGTGACTAGGTTATCAGTCCTATACTGTGTCTTTACTGCTTTGGTAAATAGATTGATGGTGGTAGCAGAATGATGATGTTGCCTTTGTGTTTTTAAGCTAAGTCTTCATCTGCTGTGGAGGCTGGACTTGAGGGGAGCCCAGAGGCTGCTGCAGTAAAGCAGCCAGATGGGAAGTTGGACTTGGAGTGGTGGCAGGAGAGTCTGAGCCAAGTAGAGAAAAAGAAATATTCACACTTATATTTCATTTTGAAAATCCTAATAGTTTGAAAAAGTATGGACTAATACACCAAACACCGTATACTTACCCCAAAGTTCACCACTAGCATGCTCTGATCCTTCTCCTCTTGGCTTCAGGATCTGGAGATGATGCACAACTCCTGAGGCTCTGACAGTTCCCTGCTTTCATTCTGCTATACCCCCATGCCGTCTTCCAATGTGCCCCCTTTCCCTGCCACCACACCTCCTTATTTTTCCACTCTTAGAACTTGGACCCAGGGTTCAACTCAGTGCCTTGAAGTGTCCCCTAAAACTTGGGGGTGGGAACCTGAATTGACAGTGCTCAGCATGGGAAGTGTCTGCAACAGGGGCTCCCTCCCTGTTAACCCTGGGGCCAGCAGGGGGCACACATCATCTCTCTCATGCCTCATGGAGCAGATGCAGTCTGCTGAGCTGTAGTGTTGCACCCATGTTCATAGTCTGCTGCTTTTGCCGTGTGCAGCCCCTGCTCTGCCCAGGGAGGTACCTGCTGCCCTTGCCCAGCTCTCCTGCTCTGCATCTCCATGCACTCTTCCCTTCCCCTTGCTTGCCACAGATATGACTTGGTATTATTTCTTTTATATTTTTATAAACAGAGTCTTGTTAACTTGCCCAGGCTGGCCTTGAACTTGTGATTCTCCTGTTCAACCTCCAGAGTAGAGTAGTGAGGATATTGGGTGTGATCACTATGCCTGGCTCTCATCCTTTAAAAATCCCAGAGGTTTTATTTCCCTGTTGAGTCCTTCCTGCTCCCTGTGCACATTCCTTTCCACCTGCTCCTCCTCGCCCGCCCCGCTGCAGGCTGTGAAGCATTCTCAGCAGCTCTTACTTCAAGTAATAGGCTCACACACTGGTCTCCTGGTTTTGACACTAAGGATGGCTTCCTGTGGGGTGGCTGGTGAGCTAGGTTCTTACTAGCATCACCTTCAACCTAAATGTACCCCCAGATCAGGAGCCAAGAGAATGCTGTTACCGAGAGTTTTACGTCTATATGTGGCTGTACAAGTACAGTCCATTAGTGAGCCGCTGCATGTCTCTTTTTTCATATGAGCTTTTGTTTTCCTAGAGCTGTGATTGCCCTGTTTTTTCCCAGGATTAGTTCTGTGTGCCTTTTGCAAAGGACAGCTCATCTGCCAGATGATCTTGCAGCTCTTCCTCCCCCAGAGAGAGGTGAGTCCCTCCAGCCAGTCTCCTCCCCCTGGCCACTGCTCCCTGGCAGAGTCCATGCCACACTGCCCATATCCTGGGACTTTCTTCACTGTTTTTTTGGAAGACCATTCCCTGATCTTCCTCTCTGTTAATTTTCTCTTATTTTGACAAATTGTGGCTTCCAGCAGTTTTCTGCGAAAGGGTTTTGTTTTGATTCTGCTTTTTGAAAACATGTTTACTCCTTCCTCAACCTTGATTGAAAATTCAGCTAGTATGGAATACATGCTGAAATTATTTTTCTTGGGCTCCTAGGAGAGGCTGATGCGCTTGGTCTCCTGTGTGATGCCATTGGGTGTTTCCCTTTTGTACGCGACATCTGTGTCCTCTGAGGTTGGTACGTAGGTGTCCTGGGCTGCCAGTTCCTCAGCAGAGCTGGTGGTCATCTAAGTCAGCTGGAGACCTTGTGCTCAGCCCAGGAGGCTCTGGTATAACCCCTGGCTACTTTTCCTTCCTTTTCTTTGTTGGCTTCTAGAGCTCGTCACTTGAGTGATGGGCCCCCGAACCCCATCCTGGTTCTCTTACTTCCTGCCATCCATCTCTTGTACTCCACCCTGGAGAAGAGTGTTGTGGTTTTTATTTTTGTTGCTCCTGTTTGGATTTTAGCTGATGCTTCCTGCCATTTCCTTTCTCACAGCAGGCTGCTCAGCCTTAGGGAACCCCATTGGTTGTTGTGGCTGAAATAGGCCCAGTAGCAGCTGGTGCTGTGCCAGCCTCCACCTCTTCTGTCTGGCAGAGGTGAGAGTAGCCCTGCCTCGCTGTCTGCTGTGAGGCTCACCGGGTAGTGTGCCACAGCTCCCTAAAACATCCACAGTGTGTGTGTGCTCTTGTACAGTGCCCTGTCTCCTGCATGTCTGTGATGCTGGTGCTTCTGGTCTGTGTCTGAGAGTGGAGTTACTGGGAGGTGGGCATTGGGCCAGGATCCCAAACAGATTGCAGTTTAAGGCCTTTTCTTTTGGGCTTTGCATTTCAGAGAAGTCTCAGGGTGGTGGGGATGCTGAACTCCTGGCAGCCAGCATCTGAGCAGCAGGAAATGGCAAGAGCACTGTTCCCACCTAGCAGGGTAGGGTGGAGTCGGGTGTACCCTGCAGTTCTGCACACCTCCTGCAGCTCCACACCCACTCCTCCCTGCTGTCCTCCACAGTCCTTGAAGCAGCCTCACAAGAATGCCTTCAGCTTTCTTTTGACCCCTGGATTGGGGCAGGAAAGGGACAGGAATTCACCCACAGTCGTGTTCTCCTGGAAGTGTGGGCTGGCCCACAGGGTGCTGGGGATGGCCATGGTTCTGAGGGGAGCTGAACATTTAGCAGGACTTTTGGCATCAGCCAGATGACCATCTTACAGCCCTGCCCCAGAGCTTTGGGCTGCCGCAGTGGAGCAGCTCTCTGAGTAGACCTGATGCCACCCTGGGATGGCCAGGGGGTACCAGGGGTTGCTGCGGGTGGACTCCAGTAGAAAAAGGAGGCAGAATTGACTCCCACCAAAGTATGTGGTGGTTTTGGGTTTTGAATTCCAGCCGGGTGCCCTGCACAGTACCACAGTTATACTTTTAGCCTGTTGCATTTGTAAAACAAAAAAAACTATAAAAAATCAGATCAAATTGATGACTGATAATTTATATCTTTCTGGTTTTGTAATTTGTTGCCATTTAGTTTGTATGTTTATTTTGGTTTTAGACCTTGTAAAAAGAGATTATTTCTAAGTTTAGGCCCATGCATATTTACGGAGCTTAATGAAAATCATTTCTCGGCACTGACAGCCGAGGGATTTCTCTTTTAAAAGATTTAGTTCTTTATAATTAAATTTGAAAATCACTAACAGAACACCATTAATTATATAATATTGTATATCTTCTGGGTATAAATGACATAGATTTAGTCTCTTTTAATCCAGTACAGAAAATTTTAGTTTTATTTAAGCAAATTAGGTTATTTAGAGTAATTTTAAGAGTGATAGGCTAGGAGTGCAGCTTGTGTAGAGTGCCTGCCTAGCATACGTGAGACCCTGGGTTCAGTTCCCAGCACTGCCTTCCCAAAAAAGAGGCAAATGCCTGTAATAAGAAGCAGCTAACCCTTTCCAGTCTAACTGAAGATTTCTTTAAAAAAGAAAGCAATCCCAGCAATGAAATTGAAGCCTTGAGGAGGGAACGGTGCTGATGCCGTCAGGCTGGCTCTGCAGTAAATGGCCCACTTTAGTGTTGGTGCTGACCTTTAAGAATGGTTTCCTAGTAAGGCCACCTGGTGGGGATTCTTCAAGTAGTCTAACCTCTGAGTCTGAGTCACAGTTACTAGTAGACGGACTGTTTCCAGCAGCCATGTATAAGTGTTTGTCTTTAAGGACATGCAGCTTTTGTGCTCCTGTGCACCATGGTGTGCTTAGCAGCTGCTCTGCACAACTGTGCATTGGTGCCCGGCAGACCCTGAGACTGCAGCTCTACTGGGTCAGATTTAGGGTCCAGTGGTGGCCACGGCACATGACACAGCCGAGCCACAGGGAGGCTGATTCCCCAGGAGCCACTGTGCAGAGGCAGGGACCCATGGTGTTTTTTTCTTTAGAGAGTGAACTGAGGGCCCTCCAGTGTGTGCCACGGTTCTCGCCTCCCGGGATCTCATGTGTTGTGGTGTGCTCTTGTTGTCATTATCGAGGAGACTGGGGCTTTAGCTTTATTTAGTGAAATGGAACTTATTCTGTCTACAATGCTATCTTGTGCACACTCCAACAAAATGGACTGCGTATGATGTTAAAACACTCCTATTGCTGCTGTGTAAGAATCCAGTTTACGTTAAAAAGTCAACATTGGGCATGTATTGTAAAGTTAGGCAGCATTCTTCTAGGACCAATCAGAGTTTTTCTCTTATTTTGTTTTCCTTTTAGAAAGTAATGTTCTAAATTTCTGCCCTATCTCCTTAAGTCAAGATAACCCAGTCTAGACAAATTCTGGTGTACCAGAGGACCAGGTATCGTCGGGCCACTTGGTATTTAAAACTTTGCCATGACATTTTTGTTTCATCTGGGGAGAAAGTTTTACACATGTTTACCTTTCTTTTTATTTCTTTGTGACTCCTTCCAAAAAGACAATCTGTAATTTCTCCTGTATTTTATTGACAGCTGACATCATTTCAACTGTTGAATTTAATTACTCTGGAGATCTTCTTGCAACAGGAGACAAGGGCGGCAGAGTTGTTATTTTTCAGCGGGAACAAGAGGTCAGTAATATACAACCCTCAAACCAAATAAAATAATTCACACCTTCTTATCACTTACAAGAAAAGAAACACAGGCTGGGGTTGTGGCCTAACTTGTGTGAGGCACTACATCACATAAAGTTAATTAAATAAAATAGTCATTATGTCCATCTACAACTAAAGAAAAATATTTAAATATTTGTTTAAAAATATTTAAGCAAACGAACAAACTTTCCCTCTGCTGCTTTTTAAAAACAGAAAAAGAAAGGAAGCAATCATTTTCTCAGTATCCAGTTCCTTTACCCTCAGTTCCCTCACATTGGCTGGTGCACACAAACCTTGCCTAGGGACCAGTGGAGAGATCTGCCTCCCACGGCAAGCCCCCGAGTCCCTGCTGCCTTCAACTGGAGTAGGGAGAATCCTAAGCAAGGACCAGAGGAGGGAGGTAGAGGGCCATGGTGTTTGGAACATGTGACTTCCTGCCGTCCTAGGGTTCTGACCCGCTCCCACCGCACTTGCTGCGGAGGACCCGGTGGAGTGTAGATCCTCTCGGTAGAGGTGAAGGGCACTCCCTGAAGCCCCTGGAGGCTTCCCTGGCCTTCAGGGAGGAGCGCACAGGTGGACCCACTCTCAAGGGCTGGTTTCTGGGTCACTTCTGTGAGGAATACTTCTTCACACATGAGAGCATGGGAAATAGGCCCAGGCCCTGCCTGCCACCCATCCTGCCCCCACCCTGGCATTTCTGGTGGCCTCAGGAGGGTTCTTGTGACCAGCAAGGCAGCAGGGCTGTTGTGTGCTGCACAGCCACCATGTGCCAGGCTGCACGCTGTCTGTAAGGGTAGGTCTTGTGTTTTCCCAGCAGGTTATGAGATAATCCTTTACCTTCCTGTCATCTCCCCGGGGAGCAAAGCTTTTTTTGGAATTTGACATAAAAATCAGACATCTTGTTCTAAAATGGATTGCATTTTAAGCCCTTGGCTGAGGTATGTTGAGTCACCCAGGAGCAGCGTCTCTACAGATGTTGCCCTGTGGTGCCCTGGTCCAGTATAGCTGGGTAAACCCTGGCAACTTGTTTTCTTCTGTCTTCATGCTGTGGATTCCCGAAGAAGGGCTGTTTGCTCTCTCCCTGGCTCTGGTAGGGCAGCTGAGAAGCTGGAGTGGCCAGTAGCTAAGCCGCCACCCCTCAGCTCAGAGGTGTCCAGATGTACGTCCTGGTTTAGAGCAGGAGTCAGGCTCCTCGCTAGGGACCTGTTGAGACACTCTGGCCTCCAGGAAGGTGGACGGTAAGGGAGCAATCTGGCAGTGCGAAAAGGACGAGCCCTCCTATAGGTTGTCTCTTGGGGAGCCCCCATGTGAGAGGAAGGCGGCTCTGTTTAATGGTGTGTGTCTGCAGTCTGCCCAGCATGCAGCTCCACCCTGCAGAAGCAGATCTGCGCACTGCATGCAGTTAAGTCAGAACCCTGCTCTCCACCCAGCACCCCTTCCTGTTTGCCCCAGCCCCCTGAAGACTTCCCTTAGAACCCTTCTCCCTGGGTAAGGGAGGAGGTCTCTATAGGGCCTTGGGACTGCTGGGCCACCCTGGGCTTTGGCAGTTTGTGAGGGTCGAGGGAGGTCGTGGTGGGGTCACAATGCTGTTCTGGGTCCTGGTCAGAGTGGCTCAGGCAGCAGACACTGCTGATTTTTCTTGGCATGGGACCGACTTGTTGGTGCAGATCTTTATTTTGAAATAATAGTTTTGTTGTTTTCCTTTGTAAGTCGGAACCATCTGTTGATAGACTGTGCTTTCTTCTAGAGGAGTGAGGCCTCGCCAGGAGGGAGAGCTGAGTGGATTAGCCTATCACAGCACACTGGGGAAAGCCACCTGGTGAGGGGCTTCCAGCTCCCACCAGCAAGCCCTGGATTCAGGGCTGCGCAGGACGTGGCGCTCAGCAAGGGAGAGGTTCAGGTGGTTTGGGGGATGCCTTCTCATAATATTTGATCATAATTCAGAAATATAAAGAAGTGCCCATCTTGACATAAAGATTTGTTGAGTTCCCGTTCCTTGGGATACAGACTAAAGTGCCAAAATGTAGAATTTTTAGGTATAGATTGTAGAGCAAGAATTAAACAAAAGACAGGGTATAGCTCAGAGGCTTGCCTGACATGTGAGGTCCTGGGTTCTGTCCCCAGTACTGGAAAAGGGGGAAAATACAGGAAATACTCAGGCTGCAAATGACACTTTATGGTACCCACTTCAGTGCCCCTGGCCCCCATCTCCCTGAATGCCCCTGCCCTCCCACAGTTACCAGGTCTTGGAAGGTGGCATGTGTCTTCTCAAGCACGTTTTCTCTCTACTGTGACCTGTAGAACTGCTCTGTGTGTTTCAGTTCTCATAAGCAGCACCTCACCGGGGACATCTTTGTGTAGAGCTTGTCCGAGGGTCTCTGTGCTTTCCTGCTGTGTGGTTTGCCTGGATGGCTCTGCCGCTGCCACGGTGTGTGTGCTGTGTCTGAGTTACTGCCACAGAGCTGGCGTAGCCCCTGGCTCTGTTGGGCTCCTCTCCCACTGACTCGGGCCACTAGCACTGATCCTCTGCGGGCCTAGATGTCCACCTGGCAGGACAGAGGCAGGTAGGCAGCAGTTCACACTTAGGTATCCATCTAGGCGGGGTCTGCCAAATGGAGCCTGCTGCATATGCAGCCTGAACATGGAATAGAAGGGCTGGGAAATGCCTGTTTCTTTTCTCTGAGTACATTAATTCCGAATTTAATCTGTGTGAGATTTTTTTGACCCAGGATTGCCCCTTCTGCCCCATACTGAGGCTAGAACCCAGCAGCAAAGCCATCTCCACCTGCAGTAGACAGTAGGTGCACTCTCCCACTAGGCTGCATCCCCAGCCCTTTTTAAAATTTTGAGATAGAGACTTGCAAAGTTGCCAAAGCTGGCTTTGAACACATGATCCTCCAGCTGCAGGCACCCGAGTTGCTGGGATTATAGGCATATGCTGTTGTACCCAGTAACCCAGGGTTTTTGTTTTTGTTTTAACTTTTAAAAATGTTGCTGGGCACAGTAGCCATGCCTGTAATCCCAGCAGCTTGTGAGGCTGAGGCAGGAGGATTGCAGGTTCAAAGCCTGCCAAGCCAGCTTCAGTCACTTAGTGAGACCCTGTCTCAAAAAATAAGAAGGATTGGGGATGAGGTTCAGTGGTTAAGCAGCCCTGGGATTCAATACCCAGTACCATGGTGTTCACATTTGTATTGCCATGTTCTCGCCTGACTGGGCTTCACTCAGTAAAGTAGCTGTCATGTTTTCTTGCAGAATAAAATCCGCCCTCATTCCAGGGGAGAATATAATGTTTACAGTACCTTTCAAAGTCATGAACCAGAGTTCGACTATTTGAAAAGTCTAGAAATTGAGGAAAAGATTAATAAAATTAGGTGGCTGCCACAGCAGAATGCTGCTCATTTTCTACTGTCTACAAATGGTAAGAGTTTTTTATTTGAGTGACTGTTTGATTTAGAGTTTTGTTTTTAACCTTCTGTATATGTGGATTTCTTTTTTTCTAGAAATTGTTTCTGGCTTAAACTTTTGGAAGAGTAAATTATCAGCCACAGTGGCAAGTGATAAGTTAAAGATTCAAAATGTGCCCCCCAACAACCAATACTGCGTCCACCACTCTGCACATGTGTCTGCATTTTTATTTTACCAAGAAAAATGTTCATCTATAATTGGAAATGTTCATATTTAAAGACCCCCCCCAGCCTAGATACCAACAGAACCTCAGTTTTCAGTATGATAACCTAAGTAATAGTGGTGCATGTTATGGTTTTTCTTTTAACATGAAGAATGAGGTTTTTATTTGCAGATAAAACTATTAAATTATGGAAAATAAGTGAACGGGATAAAAGAGCAGAAGGTTATAACTTGAAAGATGAAGATGGACGACTCCGAGACCCATTTAGAATCACAGCACTGCGGGTAGGTGCGCCCTCCGTTTTCTTTAGACTTCCCAGCCTCGTTACCTCAGCTATCTGGCGAGCGCCGTGGATGGCACTGCCTTCTTGACCCAGGAGCTGCTCCTCGCGTAGCAGTCGCCTTCGTGTGTGTGTTCAAGGGGGGACTCTGCAGGTTTCCACCCAGGCAGAAGCAACATGCTGCTCAGAGGTACAGCTGAGGCACCAGGGAGAGTTCACACCCAGCCCCGTGGCAGAGCGCTTCCCTGGGGGCAGCTCAGGCTGCAGCCTGGACGTCGGACTGTGGGCCGAGGGTGCTCTGTGGGGTGTTCCTGGGGTTCCTGCTCAGGAGCTAAGGCACACGCTGCTGTTGCTGACTTTTTTGCATCAGGGTGTCCGTGAGCATCAGTACTTCTAATCGTTAGATTCTCCCCTTACGTTTTGGTGCCCCCATGTGTAGTACGGAGTGACCATAATTCATCAGTTCCTGTACTAGACTTTTTTCATGTTTTGACATCTGTTTAGTTGCATAAACCTTAGAAATCTCAGTGTCTTGCATTGTTCTGGTTGAAGGGTGTCTTAAGACACAGGGCTTAAGCTGACTGGACTTGTGCCCAGATAAGACAGGGAAAGTGCTGCTGGGGGTGGAGCCCAGCCTCGGTACCAGGGGCTGCGGCTACTATTTAGAAAACCGCTGGCTGCTGATTTCTCAATGACGTTTAAGCCCTGGTTATATATACTCTTTCTCGTCAAAGAAATACTAGTTAATGAGCACATTCCAAATCAATGGTCAAGGGAGATCCCAGAAAGGGTGCTGTCCACAGATCCCCACCCCAACACACTCCAGGCCCCATTGGGCATGCTTGCAGCTCAGAGTGGGCGTGGCCTGTTCTGGTGCCATTCTTGAACTGCACCAGGAGGGTGGTGACAGAGCAGCAAAGCCATCTCCACCTGCAGTAGACAGTAGGTGCAGCTGGGGTGAGAGCATCCCAAGCACAGTCCTCGAACTCCCTGCCTGTGATGCTGCTCCCTCATTTCCAGGGTCTTTGTTGAGGCTGGGGAAGGCAGTGTCATTTGCTCAGATCAGTTTATGGGAACTCAGATGTTCTGTTGAAAACGCCGGCGGTTTCTGATATGCCACGCTGCTGCAGGTGTATCCACCAAGCTACAGGAGTCATGTGGTGGCAGTCTCACTAGTGTTGAGGACCCATCACAGCCATCGTCAGTGCTCTCAGTCTTGTGAAGTAGGAGTTTGGGTGACACGGGTCATCCTAAGTCCTGTGCTGTCTGTCCCTCTCCCACCAGCTGTGTGTACAGCCCTCTCAGGAATCCATGTTGCTCCCAGTCAGACTCTGCACCACCCCAGAAGCTCACCTGCTTGTTTTGGAGAAACTGCAGGTCCTATGTGGCCCCTTTAATACCATCATCCTCAATAAAACCATACATGAGGGGCCACAGGAAACTGACGAGCACAGTTGTGAGGGTGCAGGGTCAGGGCCAGGGGGCTGTGTTTGTGAACCGAGGTCTGTATTAGACTCACAGAGGACTGTCACCTTGACTGAGCCTACCTGGGCAGGAACCCGAATGTCACTGTTTTAATTTTTTTCTTTGAGTGCCAGAAAAGGGACTTGATTACAAGAAGGACTCGGCATTATTAGTCTCCCTGTGTTCTGATCAGAGACTTGTCAGAGGGTCCTGGCACATGTGCTTTATTCCTGTGCACGTTAGAGCCGACACTCCTGTTCCTGGGAAATGAACCCAGGGCACTCCACCACTGAGCCACATCCCCAGACCTTTTTATTTTTTATTTTGAGACAGAGTCTCACTAAGTTGCCTTGGGCCTAAGTTGCTGAGGCTGATCTCAAATTTGTGATCCTCCTGCCTGAGCCTCCTAAGTAACTGGAATCATAGGTGTGCATTAGCACCCAGCTCCCTAGCTTATTTTTACAGAATTTGGGGAAGACTCAGATGAGAGATTTCTTCCTGCCTTCAGGGCTCCCTTCTGATGTCTGGTTACCAAAAAAAACAGACAACACTATTCCTCGACTTTCCTTTTGCTTGGTGAGGGTCAGGCCTGCATTCTTGCTTCTGTTCTTGGCGCAGTATGCTCTGGCCAGGCACCCTCCTCCTCCTCGTTTCTTTGGCACAGCAGCCTGTTTTTTGGAGCCCCTCAGGCACAACACTCAGCACAAGTATGGGGAGGGTGCCTTTGTGGCTTTTCTTCTTAACCTTCAAGTGAAGGGAGTGTACATGCCGAGAAACGCAGCTACTGTGGAAGTGACTAGCCCTGGGGTGCTCAGACTGGACATGCCACATACTAGCCCCAGATCAAGAAGGGGAGCAGCCTCAGCTCCTCTGAGGGGCCCACACGCGAGCACTGAGTGCAGCAGGAGAGGCTGTGCTCCAGCTGTAGGTGCTGGCACCGCAAGGATCTCCTTGCCTTCCAGGGTGGGCCACAGGGACACAGGTGTCCTCGGGACGTGGGGTGCCTGTGGCTGCAGTCCTGCTCGCTGGTCAGTTGGGGGTGTGGCTGGCCCTACCGTAGATCTGTCCCATACCTGCTTTACTCTTACACTACCATGACCCTTGTTTTGAATTCCTATTTCCTTCCATTTTTTAGGTTCCAATACTGAAGCCCATGGACCTCATGGTAGAAGCAAGCCCACGACGAATTTTTGCAAATGCTCATACGTATCATATAAATTCCATTTCAGTAAATAGTGATCATGAAACGTATCTTTCTGCAGATGACCTGAGAATTAACCTGTGGCATTTAGAAATCACAGATAGAAGTTTTAGTATCCTTCACTAGGCGGTGGTCTCTGCGTTTCCCTAGGGGTGGTTCAGTCGTTTTCATGTGCACTTGTCTTCATGTAGCTCAGCACTGATCTTTGAAAGACAGTTTCCTTCCCTAATAGCCTGTGAAGAAGTTCTCAGAAATATAAACTTCCCCCTGTCTTGGGGAAGTGCTCTGTAGGGGATTGACCTGAAGCCCATGGCCCACCTGATTCTGTCAGAGGCAATTTTAAACAGAGTGTATTTGAAAAATCAGTGTTGTGGTTTTTCTTTTAAATTTACAAATGGTAAGAGTAGAAAATAAAACTCTGATTAGAATTCTCACATTCAGCCCCAGGTGAGAACTTTGAGCCCTTAGTGGCGTGACAACTCTCCTACCTTGGCCTCCTGGTATGGCCATCCCCTATATGTACCTCATGCCTCCTGCCCTCTGAAGAACTGCCCAGAGCCTGCCTGTGGCTGGCAGGAGCTCAGGGCACTATTTGCTGGCTGGTCACTGTCAGGGGGCTGCCCTGCGTTGCCCCACCATCACATGAGTCTCCCCGAGAGGTCTCTGGGGTCCTTGCTCCCCAGTTTGCCCTGGGAATCGCAGCTGCAGCTCTCCCAAACTCCCAGCTCTGTGTTCTAGCTCCGCCTAGATCCTCTCCTTTGCTGCTGCCAGCACAACTGTGGGTTGGTTGTGCCTCCAACCTCTCTGGATGTGCCTTTCCCTCTCTAGCATCCCATGATTCAAGCTGTGGACTCAAGTTTGTGTGTGTGTTCTTAGTTGTCTTAGCTGGAAGGTGAATCTGGTCCTCCCCATTCCAGACTGGCACAGGGTATTCTGCCTACCCTGAGTTTTTTTGTTTATATATATATATATATTTATATTGTTTTTATATATGTGTATATATTTATTTATATCCAAATATATATATATATTTATATTGTTTTTATATATGTGTATATATTTTAAAGAAAGGTTGTCTTCTTTTTTTTTTTTTTTTTTGAGAGAGAGAATTTTAATATTTATTTTTTAGTTTTTGGCGGACACAACACTTTGTATGTGGTGCTAAGGATCGAACCCGGGCCGCACGCATGCCAGGCGAGTGCGCTACCACTTGAGCCACATCCCCAGCCCAGTTTTAATTTTTTTTTTAGTTGTCAATTGATCTTTATTTACTTATATGCAGTGCTGAGAGTAGAACCCTGTGCCTCACACATGCTAGACAAGCACTCTACCACTCAGCCCCAGCCCTAGCCCTAGCCCTGTTTTTTTTTTTTGATGAACCGATTTCTGCATGCGACAGCCACCTCTGTTGGCATTGTTCTGACAATTCCACAAGTGCTTACTTGGCTCCAAGTAATCGGCAAGGGAACCTTAGACCTGGTGGAGTTGTGTTCTATCGTGGGGACAGAGTGTGGGGCTCTGCAGAGGAGCCCTCCAGCGCAGGCGCCCATGGTGGAGGCTGGTAGGGTGGCAGTACAGCAGCAGGGCGAAAGCAGAGCTTGTCTCCACACCCACCTGTGGCCAGGTGCCCGTGGCAGGAGTGCCACGGCCATTTGAAGCTGCCTTCTGGTGTGCCTCGGGAATGTGATGTGTGCAGTCAGCCTCCTGGGCCTCTGCCCCACCTCCCTGGGGCCCCGCTGTGTGTCCGCAGCACACCCATCAGCAGCATGCGCCTTAACACCTCCCTCCAGACATCGTGGACATCAAACCTGCCAACATGGAGGAGCTGACGGAGGTGATCACCGCCGCCGAGTTCCACCCACACCAGTGCAACGTGTTCGTGTACAGCAGCAGTAAAGGGACCATCCGGCTGTGTGACATGCGCTCCTCCGCCCTGTGCGACCGGCACTCTAAGTGTAAGTACCTTGTTTTAGTCCTCCTTCCAGCTGGGCCTCACCCAGGCCTGGTCCTGTTCCCACAAGCGGCCATCCTGGGCTGGCGTCATGAGGCCAGTGGTTCATTGCCAGCACTTACCCTCCCTGAGCCTCAGTGCCTCAGCTGAGCTCATCCCTGGACCAGGTCCAGCCACTGTGGCCTCCCCCCTAATGCATGAAGCCTGGACTGAAGCTCCCGAAGGCACTGGGCCTGATCACTTGCATTCTGCTCCCCCTGAAGCCAGTTCCCCGAGGGCACTGTCTGCAAGTACTGAGCCTTGAAGTCTCTTCTGGGGGGGAAAGCTTCGTTTGTTTCATCTTTAGCCAGGAAGAACAGGCCTGTAGTCTCAGGGTCAGCGTCAGCTGAGGTGGGAGGGTTGCAGGAGACGTCCAGGGCCTGTGCCATTGCATTCTGGGATATGGAGACCTTGCTGCCCTTCCTGGCCCCTGCCCACAGGGCTCTGCGGGTTTCTGCGTCCTGTGGTGCTTTCCCTGACAGTGAAGTCCCTGACCTGCCCTTCAGTGGGTGTCCCTGCTGGCACAGCACCAGCCAGCCCCGGGCACTCCCTGGCTCCTCCCCAGCTGCCGTCTGCTGCCTGCTCTCTCCTGTGGTCAGAGCACCGTGCTCCTGTTACACTGCCTGCCATGAAGAAGTGTCCTCAGCGTTCAGCAGGTGCAACGACCAGGGGTGGCTCACCTGTGAGCAGAGTGACTTAGTGGTGGCAGAGCTGGTTGCTGGCACAAGCTGGCCTCAGGTTAACTTCATGCAGAGAAACATGTTCCTATGTGGACAGAAGCAAGGGGAAGCCAAAGCAGATGATGGCAGCACACCTCCCTGGCCTGATCCTGCTGAGCCAGAGCCATGCGCTGGGGCATCTGGTGGCCCAGAGGCTCAGGGGCACCTCCTCCTGACCGGCCAGGTGAAGGGAGCTCTGTCCAGGTTCTGTAATAGAGAAAGCAGGTTCTGAGAAGGCACAGGACCTCTCACAGTTAGAACTGATTTCAGCATGGAAGACAAAACTCCTTCTGCTGACTGACTTTGGCCAGCAGAACCAGTGTAACAGTTAAAATCTGGACCAGCAGCCAGGGGTGGAAGGACACACTTGTAATCCCAACCACTTGGGAACCCGAGGGAGGAGAACGGCAAGTTCAAGGCCAGCCTCAGCAATTTAGCAAGATCCCATCTCAATGAAAAGGGCTAGAGCTCAGTGGTAGAGCACCCCAGGGTTCAGTCCCCAGTACAGAACAACACCACACCTGGACCATGGTGGTGGTTGAAGTGGTGGTCAGTCCAGCAGAGCAACCAGGTGTTGACCCTACAGAGAGCAGGCTCACTCTAAGAGGTCCCAAGCACCACACCTGTGAAAAGCATGTATCTTCTAATTATGGACATGGACAGGAATGATCGTGGCATGCCCTGGCCCAGTGTCATGAGGATACAGGCTTCCCTGTGGTGACGGTCTCAGGCTGGGGCCATGCCTGTGAGATTCTGGCTCGGCATTGACTTGCAATCTGAGTGTGCTTCCAAGCAGCTGTCCTGGCTGGCACTGGGGCAGTGTCCTAGAGGATGCAGTTTCGAGGCTGAACCCTGCAGAGTCTCACTGGGGGAACTGAGACCTGCTAAACTTGTTTTCTGATTTGAAACAGAAGCTGAAAATATTTTATTTTGTTTTTCAGTTTTTGAAGAGCCTGAAGATCCCAGTAGTAGGTCCTTCTTCTCAGAAATAATCTCATCCATCTCCGACGTCAAATTCAGCCATAGTGGTCGGTACATGATGACCCGAGACTACCTGTCAGTGAAGGTGTGGGACCTCAACATGGAGAGCAGGCCAGTGGAGACCCACCAGGTGCATGAGTACCTTCGGAGCAAGCTCTGCTCCCTCTACGAGAACGACTGCATCTTCGACAAGTTTGAGTGCTGCTGGAACGGTTCCGACAGGTGAGCCCGCAGGGCAGGAGCCGCCATCCTGGAGTCTCAGCGGGCCCTTGGGAGGGGTGCTTCGGCGCAGAGCTGCAGAGCAGCACGCAGGGGCTTGTGTGCACAGGGGCTGAGAAGTTGCTCCCCATGCTCACAGCACAGCACCAGGTGCTTTGGTGTCAGTTTTTGCTGTTTGTCATTACGTGTGTGTGGTGTCCCCCCCCAGTGAGCAGAAAGGAAGTAAGTAGGGATCTGCTCAGCCTTCAGGTGGCCACCCTGAGCTTTGGGACGCTGCCTTCTGGGTTCAGCTCCCTTTTGGTTTCCTGTGTCCAGCCTCATGCCTCATGTCCAGCCGCCACATAGGCAGCCTGCTCTCGCTCTGCACAGACTCACATGCCAGCCTAGAGCATGCGCAGAGAGGCCAAAGAGATTATTCAGGTCACAGGAAGCAGTGTGATCTTTGTGCTGCGTAAGTTCCCGGAGTGACGTGGGGCCAGGCAGAGGCCGTGTAGGCCATGGGGTTGTGTAACAGGCAAGACACACTGGGCTTGGAAGAGCCTCTGTTTGTGAGGAACGCAGTGGACAAGCCTGTACTTAACCCGGCTCCTGAGGGTAGGGGAGGCCAGTGCGCTCGCACCTTTGGTGCTCCTGCTGGGCCCTAGGACTCCCCAGACTAAAATCACCTGTGCGACTCTTGAGGAAAATTACCACCCATACTTAGAAAAACTCCACCATGGGCAGCCACAACAGCAGCAGAACTCCTGAGAATTGAGGTGTTGAAGTCGTGCATTACAGATTATAAAATAAGGATGCTTGAAACAGTTCTGTGTTAAATGAAAGAACCAAACACCTGAAAAAGAACCACAGACTATTAAAAATGACCTAGGAAACCTGAAAGCAAATCAGACAGAAATTTTAAAACGCAAGATACGGCAGGAGACAATCCACTGTGGGTTTAGCAGCAGATCCAGTTCAGGGAGAGTTGGAATCATGATGGAAGGGTGAGCCACAGAAGCAGAAAGCCTGAAGGTTAAGTGTGGAGGAGAGGGTAGGGTGTGGCCTAGGTCCATGTGCAGAGGAGCATTTTAAAGTAGCATAGCCAGCAGTACATTCAGTTTAGGGAAGACAACACAGATTTCAGAGGCACCAAGATCTGCAGCAGACACTATAAAGGCACCATGTGCACATCATAGTGCAGAGCAGGTCTCAAGAGGAACCTGGGAAGGACACACATCCCACACAGACTGGCCCTTGAGGCTGAGAGCAGACTCCTGCAGCCACTATGGAGGTCTGTCTTAGTCCTGTGTGTGTTGCCATAACAGGATACTGGAAGCTGGGCATTTTTGACAGAGGGGCTTGCTTATCCTTCTGTCTGGCTCACAGGTTGAAGGCTGAAAGGTAAGATCAAGTGACTCCATCTTTTTAGCTTCTGGTGATGGCTTCATGGTGGATGGCATCACTTGGTGAGAGTACACGAGTCAAAGAGCAGGAGAGGCAGCCACGGGAGCCAGACTCCCTTCACAACAGCCTCTTCTCCTGGGAGCTAGCCCAGTCCCTTTAAGAAGGCAAGCCTCTCAAGGCCCCTCACCTCAGTTTCTGTGCACAGGGTTGAGCCTCACCTGAGTCTGGCTGGGACAGCCACAGGGGCCTGCAGGTGTCCTGGTGTTTGCTGTAAGCGCCCAACTGCCTGAGTGTGCTGGAGAGCACCGTCACCTGCCTAGGGTCACGCACTCAGGCAAGTGGCCCTGTGGGTGAAGGCATCTTCAGGGGGAGTCAGAACCAACTGTAACAGGAAACCAAAGAGAGCAAGACCCCGATGAGCTTGCTGCAGGCTGTTTCCAGCAGGAGGGGCCCTGGAAAGAGGGTCTGGGGACCAGCAGAGCAGCATCAAAGCCCTGAGTGAGTGAGTGAGTGTCTCAGGGCCACACAGAGCTGTTGACTGTGCCAGCTGGCTGGCTGTGCTGCAGGGACAGAGACCAGCCCTCCCCACAGCGTGGAGTGAACAAGCGCCGAGAGTTCAGGGCTCAGAGAAGAGTCCCGAATAAGGGCAGAGTCACAAATCAGGCAGAAGCCAGCCAAGAGCAAAACTGCAGCAGTGGCCTAGGCACGGAACTGGGGACGAGGAAAAGCGGACCTGGACGTTGGGATTTGGAAGAAGATGAAGCACAACTTGGCGATTACAGTGAGCTCCAGGCCACCCCTGGGGCTGGCCAGCCAAGAAGAGGGGAGCCACCGCCACCTCCAAGACACAGCCTTGAGGCCTCAGCCCCACCTGCACCCCACAGGCAGCACTGCTAGGAAGAGGGTCCTGCCCCCAGCTCCAGGTGACACAGACTTGGTGGGGGCCTGTGCCATAGCAGGGAGGGCTCGATTCCCAGGTCACCAAGAAAGGGGTGTGCTCAGCTGCCCCTATCCCCTCCCTGGGTCCTGTCTCTTTACCGGAACAATAAATCTGGCTTTGTTCGTAAAAAAAAAAAAAAAAATTCAAGTCTGAGACCCCCTCACAGCACAGCCAGCACAGCTGTGGGAATTCACAGGGCTCATCCACAGCCAGAGGTGGAGGCCTGACCCTGCCCTGCCTGGCGTGGGATTCTGGTGACGGGGACTGGGAGCCAGAACCCCTAGCCCAGGTATTGAGATGGGGGTCCCGCCAGCTGTCCGTTCTGCAGCGTAGTGCTGAACAGCTGAGAGGTGGGGAACTGCAGGCATCACAAGTGGCCTCACGAGGAAGCCAACAGGACACAACGTGCCCGCCACACAGACGGCTCCTGTGGGTGTACTCGGGCTTGTGCCAGGGTGCAGTTAGTCTGCTGAGCACTCACTTAGCAAATGTCAGACCCTGGGTTCGACCTTGAGCACCCCTAAAACGCATCTGTGACAGGAAGTGCACAGCTGCTCTGCTGAAGGACTGCCCACTGCCCCACTCTGCGGAGCCGAGCCGAGGGCTGGCCTGGCTCTCTGGAGGGGTGCACGATGGGATTCGCCTTCTTGGTGATGGGTATGTGGATACTGGCCGCACTGTTCCTGATACCTTGTGGTTTATTTGAAATATTACAAAATACATTTCAGTAAAACATCCCCACGAGTATCCAAGACCTCTCCTGGTGATACGTGCTGCATCCATTTACTCCTGAGGACCCCCCCCCCTGTCATCTGGTCTGGTAGCACTATAGGGGCAAGATGGTGCAAGGCCAGGCTGAGGGCTGCTGTTGCCTGGCCCCTTGCCACACCAGGTGGTCGTGGCCTCTTGCTCATGTGTCCACGTAGGTCTGCACTGGGCTGTTCCCTGCTTGGGGGGTGGCACTTCAGAGCAGGGGCCTAACAGTTCTCTGGCAATTGATTGCCAGGTGGGCTAGGGGATGCCCGCCTCTGGTGCGGGCATTGGCTATCAGGAATTTATAGGTATGCACTGCGCTTCAGATCTTAGCACCGGGTTCCTTGCAGGAGGTTATTTGAAGAACCCCCAGTGAGAGTCACCCTCCTGTGCAGTCCTGGGTCATCTGTGGTCATCCTGAGGCTCCGGCTCTGGCACTCGCTGGACTGGGCTCGAACACAGTAGCCTCTCCAGCCCCTCTGGTACCAGAACTCTGGCGATGAGCTGCAGGTCCCGCGTGCACAGGACAGCTGTGTGTAGCTCTTCTTCTGAGTTCATCTTTTTTTCTGGTGAACCAGCGTAGACGAGGTACATGGGACATTGAAGTATTTGCACATTGCGGGGGAAAGCCCCACGCCCTGTAAGGAGGCCGCCCCGTTGAAGGTGGGCACCTAGATATGGCACCTCCCTTGAGCACCAGGCGGGGTGAGCGTGTTGAGGTGGGAGCAGAGACTGGCCTAGCCTGGCCTGGCCAGGAAGGTGGGTGAGTGCCATGGACCTCACCTCCACACCAGGAACTCCACTCACTTCGAAGCCCTGGGTCAGCTCAGGCAGCATTGGATGTGAGTGTGGAGGTGAGCTTTAGGCAGCCATCTCTTCCACTTTTGTAGAAAAAGCTGAAGTTTTGCAGTGTGGTCAGGCCACATTGTGAGGATGTGAAGGTGCTTTAGTGGGTTCCTGGTCTCAGCTGAAAGTTATGATTGACGCTGAGATAAAAGCAGGAAAGGTGTAGCAAATTCTGGATTTATGTAAAATGGAATACTCTGCTTCTACCACATTTTGTATTCGAGAGTTTCATTGTATGATATATATTGCTTCATGTAAAAGAAACTTTTTTGAAGATAAATTTAAAACTTGTTTGAGCTGGATCCAGTTGTGCACACCTGTAATCCAGGCAACTGGTGAGGCGAGGCAAGAGGATTGCAAGTTTGAGGCTGGCCTGCACAGCTTGGTAAGCACCTTAGTGAGACCCTGTCTCAAAATCAGAACGGTTGTGAATGTGGCTCAGTGGTTAAGCTCTCCTGGGCTGAGTGTCCAATACCAAAAAAAAAAAAACAAAAAACAGATCAAATGCCACTGAAGACGCATTGGCAGAGGTGGCCATGCATACCGAGCATGAGTATGTGGAGGTGAGCTTTGGCGGGCAGTGACAGTGCAGAAAGCCGGAGCTGGGAGAGGAGCCCCAACTGTCAGGACAGAGACGAGCAGGTGGGCTTTCCTGTACTACATAAGAGGTCATATGGAAGCTTCAGGGAGACGCTGCCTCTCCTTTCTGACCCCAGCATATCTCAGTCCTGGTTTCTGAACGTGCCCAGGTGCTGCGGAGGGAGGGGTGGGGAGCACAGGCAGTGTGCAGCCGCCCGGCACTCAGTGCTCCTGTCTTGTCTCAAGCAGTGCTGTCATGACGGGCTCCTACAACAACTTCTTCAGGATGTTCGACAGAAGCACGCGCAGGGATGTCACCCTGGAAGCCTCGAGAGAGAGCAGCAAACCCCGAGCCAGCTTAAAGCCCCGGAAGGTTTGTGCAGGTGGGAAGAGGAAGAAGGACGAGATCAGTGTGGACAGCCTGGACTTCAATAAGAAGATCCTCCACACAGCCTGGCACCCCGTGGACAACATCATCGCCGTGGCCGCCACCAACAACCTGTACATATTCCAGGACAAAGCCAACTGAGGGAGCCGGCGAGGCCCCTGCCGCAGCCCGGACAGCGTCAAGGAGCTCTGCGTTCAGAGCCTCACGCCCTCCCACGGAGCAAGAGCTGGCCTTGGTGCATCCTGGCCTGGCCCTGCCTTCAGCCCAGGAGAGAAGGGTGCTGCTGCTCCAGAGCGGAGCCCACTGGGAGCAGAACTGCTGGACATTGCTCAATAAAGGCCATTACTCAAATAAATATATTTATTTAAGTCTGAGCTTCCTTTCCAGTTTATAGACCAAATACCTAACACCCAGGAGAAGAGGTGTCGTCAGGCCCTCTCCCCATCCCACCCTCCACTCTTCCCTCTCCCTGCTGTCCCTGGTCCTGTGCCTAGACATGGGGCGGCCTGAGCCCGGGCAGGTGTTCCCACTCACTGCATCTGCCATCACACCTCCGGGTGTGGCTACTCAGTGCAAGCAGCACAGTCCAGAGTGCTTTTGAAAACAAACAGAAGTTGTTGTCTTGTATTTGCTTCAGGTCTATGTGATGAAATCATGCAGGGTCATTCTTGGGAACAATCTCAGAAACGCTGGTCCTCTTTGGCAGAATGGTGGCATGTGTGCAGTTCTTAGTTCTAACCCAGCTCCCCCACACTGTCACGCTGCCCTGTTTCTGTAGAAGTAGTCCATCTCCCCATCAGGCCGGGCTGGGCGGGGAGACCACAGGAAGAGACACTGCTGCCCTAAAAACCACCCGGCTCCCAGCAGGCCTGAGTCACTACAACTGAAAACATGCTTTCTTAAAAGTCTTTTTTAAAAGTACTTTGGGGAAAATATACTTTTTAAATATTGCTACAGTTACATGCATGCTTTCACACTGCATTTCAAGCCAGCAGAATTAAACCACTTTAACTGCTTGTGATGCCACCAGTACCTTGGTGGTTCATTTCAAAAGATCTTTGATGTCAAAATCAAGGTTTTCCAGCAAGAGTGCAGAGGCTACCAACATCAAACAACAGAGATTGCTTCCATGGGATTGCACCCATGAGCCCAGTCACAGAGCCCCTTGCCCTGGGGCTGGAGAGCCAGGTCTCAGTGCCATCACTGAAATGGAGGTGTATTTTGATTACTAATGATATAGATATGCAAGGACAAAAGTGTCATCACCCTGAGTTGATGTTAACAGAATGCCAGTTTAGTTCACATGAAGTTAGAAATTGAGAACATAAAAATACCTTTATTTTATTTAAAGTAAGTCATTCTGTGTCTTGGTTGTGATGCCATTACAACATCTGAGATGTGGAACAGTTGTGCAGGCATTAGTCAGCCCTGGTCCTTCAAATCAGGATTGTATATATTTGTTTCAATCAACTATTTTGACCAAAAAGTTTAATAAATTTTAAATGATTAACTGGATTTTCAGTGTTTGAACAACTTTTTCCATTTTTAAAACACATTTCCCACTAAATAGGAAACCAGCCTTTGACGCCTGGGGACAGGCCGAGGTGAGTGCAAGTCCATGCTGCATAGCTGCGTGCTCCTCGCAGGGTCACGGGTCCCCCAGACCGAGTGCCCTGGCTGGCAGGTTGCCTTCCCTGCCGTGCAGCATCAGAAGTCCCCTTTGTGGCAGTTACAAACACTGGCCAAAGGGATTCACTTCTGAGAGGGTGCTTTGTAGAGGCAGGTAGAAAATCTTACCTCTCCCTCTTGCACATCAGATTCCACTAGACCCTTTCTCCATTCCAGTGACTGAGAATCCCAAGGCTTAAATTGATATTTTATGTTCAAACTTACAAAGTCTGTCATTTTTCTTGTTCTAAACCTTTTTGTTTTGTTTAAAGTTAGATATATGTTCCTGAAAGTGAATTCTGTGTATCTCTTATTACATGAGATTTGATGCTAGTCTCTGGCCTGAGACTCTGGATTAGGTGAATAAAAAGTTAAAAATTCAAAAAGGGCTAGAGAAGTAGCTCAGTGATAAAATGGGTGTTCTACCATGCAGGTACACTTCAAAGCCGCTGGGATTACAGGCGTGCACCTCTGTGCCCAGCTAAAGAGAAAAACAGAGTTTCTGTAAACCGGTAGTGCTGTTAGGAACCTGTGGGTATTTATGAGCTGAGGGGTAGTGTGGATGCTATCTAGGGACTCCCTGATCTTCCTGTGAGGCGCTTTAAATCGCAGCCTGCCAACACCAGGAGCTCTCTAGAGGGGAGCCCGTCAGTAGCTGCCAGCCCAGGGCTGTCCCACTGCTCCTCCCAGGAGGGTCTGTGTAAAGGGGATGAGATGGGCATAGGGATGGGCCCTTAACTCTGTCCTTTTAAACAGGCTGTCTCCCTGGACCAGTGCCCTTGGCACCAGCAGGGGATTGACGGAGAATGCCAGCCAGTAGGAGTCCACACTGCAAGGCCCTGGGACGGTGTCCTGTGCTGTAGGTGGGGGAATACCAAGTGCCTGTTGTCTGCAGGTGATACTCTGTGCTCAGCCCTGGTCTGAGATAAGGCTTTACCCAGGACTGGACTGTTGAGTAGGGATGGGTCACATTTTCAGTGTTATGTGTCCCACAGGCACCATGCCCAGAAAGCTAGGGAGTCAGAAGTTCTCTGTGAGCTGCTGACCAGTCCCTGAACACTGCAGATGGAGAATGCTGCCCAGGAGCCACATGCCAGCCTTGCGCCTGCCTGCCCTGCACAGGGCGCACGTGTCTTGCTCGAAGCTGCCTGGTGCAGCTGAGCTAAGCAGCAGGCCAGTGGCTTTCATTGTTTAGGGGTGTGCCAGGTGTTGACCTCCACCCTCTACAGGGCATCGTGGGCTGGGCCAGAGGGCTCATGGCTATGGATGACAGCCCCTTCTGGGCACAGGCTCAGGACAAGTGCTTTGATCCTGGCTGTGGGTTGCAGAACAAGCCTGAACTCCATGCACTTGTGCCCACATGCTGCTCTGTAGCGTGTGGTGGTTGTGTGGGCCTGCAGGCCATGGAACTTGACCTTGACCTTTTAGGAACCATGATACCCCTGGAACTGGGCAGGGAAAAAGCCAACTGAAGGGTGGGCAGAGGTTGGTGCCATCTGCCTTCATGTATAGCCAAGTACACTGCTGGGGCCCCATCTGTCCAAGGCGCCCAGTGGTACTGTCACACCAGGCAGGGCACACACAGGACAAAAACCTGCACTTAGACTTCCCTTTTGGTTTTGAGTTATCATAATGCTGATGACTCCTGCTTAAAGTGCTCTGCCTCGAACCCCACAGGCATGTCCTCAGTAAACACCTGTGTCCTCAGAGGACCAGCGGGAAGACCTGGGAGCAGCAGCAAGATGGCCAAAGGCCTGGCTCTGCCATCCAGTGCCCTGTACGATGATCTTGTGCAAGTCCCTTCAGTTAGAACATTTTAATGATTTTTAAAAATACAATGGAAACCAGACCCTCGAAATTGGACTAGGAGTATGGCTGTCGGATGGTCCACTGCATCAGACAGGGTTCCCAGCAAGTGGGAGGCAGACCCCCGCCTGGAGTGTGGTGGACAAGACCTGGAGAGGAAGAGTCTTGGGACACACGAGTGGTAGGAAAGCTTCACACTTTCCAACCCCACGCTGTTTCATGGCACCAAGACACAGACCTGCGATTTCATTTCTCATCTGGCTGTTAGAAAACTCCTGTGATCAAGTTTTGATTTTGCAGATGCCACAGCACGAAGCTTTGTAGCATCCTTGAGATGTGTCACTGATGTCTCCAGAAGATACTGGCCCTTGCACATCTGCCTGGCCCCCTGAGTCATGAAGGGACTGATCACAATGCTGACGTAGCATGAAGTGCCTCCTGGCACCTGTGGCTGGAGGGCTGGTAGCCAAGACCCAGAGGTTCCAATTGGATGCCATTTACTTGGAGTAGCCACTTACGTGACATTAAATCTCATCATCCAAGTGCTACTTGGTTTTGATTACAGATCAATGGTCTTAAGCAATTCACTTGTTTGCCTCTGAGTGAACTGTTAGCAGGTTACTTGGGAGAGCTGGGGGTGTAAGTCAAGGGTAGAGCACTTGCCCACCTTCCACTTGCATGGCAGTACCAGAAAGAAGAAAATTTGGAAAGAGTGGGACACCTTTTTTAAATGAGTCTGTGCTATAAGGATAGGAAACAATTAATTCCTAGGAACTTTAAGTGGGAAATTTGTTCTACAAAATCTAAATATCCAACACAGTGTAACTCTGGTTCTTAGGAATATACTTTCTTAAAACCAAACAAGGGGCCCACAGGTCATTCCAGCAGCTCAGGAGACAGAGGTTGCAAGTCCAAAACCACAGCTTAACAAGACCCTGTCTCAAAAAACAAAGGGCTGAGATGCAGCTCAGTGGTAGGGAGCCCCCGAGTTCAATCCCCAGTATCAAAAAGAAAAATAATTTTTTCTTAAGTTTTGAGCTGGTAACTTGTAGATATCAAAACCTCTAAGAAGATGATGGCAATGTCTTGCTTGTGCCTCTGACCCTCTTGGGTGGACTGTCCCTTGCTTCTCTGGTGTGCTTTCAGTTTCTAGACACAGACCTGATGTGTTCCTGTCCTGTTCTCGCACGGAAAGCAGCCAGCAGTGTCCAAGCCTGCTGGTGCTCCTTGGCATGGGCCGTCTCCCACAGGCCTTATGCACAGCTCTGATAGAGATGTGCACCAGCAGTCTGCATGTCCAGAGGCCCCCAGCGATGCTAATGTCACCAGCTCAGGGACCACTTAGAGTAAAAAGGTATCACCCAATTTTTACTTCATTGTTTCACTTTGAAACATCTTAAACAGGTGAGCACTAGCACTGGCTGCAGCCAGAGGGAGCAGGCACTGGAGGCATGCCCTTCCTTGAGGACCTGGTCCCTGTTCTTCCTCGGCTTCTGGGCTGCTGTGAGCAGACAGCTTGCTTCCTCCCGTGCAGACACTGCATTTGTTTCAGTGTTTTGATATATTAGTATAGATATGGCCCTTTGCGCACATGCACCTCAAAATTCAGGTCTCCCTTCAGGCTATATTCCAACAAGTGGTCTGTAGGGAAAAAGGACAGCCTGTCGGTTTGTCCCATCCAGAGGCCGGCTCCCCCACCTGTGCTGCCCCTCCCTCCCTGGAGCTGCAGCCCTCTCCACTCCTTGGGGGGTCACACTGGAGTCTGTAAGCTCAGGCCCTAGGATTGGTGCAAAGTCTACATCAGGAAACTTGCATTTGGCCAAAGGCTTTTTCTTAAAATTATTTGGATTATGTTAAACATTTTATAAATTTGCTGTTCCCCAAATGAGTAATAGTGCAGGCAATTACCTGTGCAGATGGCTAGTTGCCAAAGATCTTCAGAAAGGCCTGATTCCTCTTCTGCCATCATTCTGAGAACTGTCCCAGCGGGCAGGAAAGTTCTGGGAGAAACACTGCCCCTGCACAGAGCACAGACAGGACAAGGACACACTCCCCTCTCCCTGAACATGCGCTCGGCTGCCTGCACGGCTCTCATGTCCTGGGGGCTGTGGCCAACACAACACAGGGAGGAGGTGTGGAAGCTCTGCAAACCTGAGGCGGGTTACAGGGACATGAGCGCCTGCAGGCGCTGCAACCCTAGGGATGGGGTGTATATGTGAAGCACCTACTGTAAGGCAGTCTGGTGAAAAGACGCCCTGGCAACTCAAGCCTCAGTCTCATCTCTTATGTCCACAGCATTTCCAACCAGTTTCACTGAATTCTGCTGGGGCCACTGGTGACAGGGTTTGTCAATAAAGTGGCTGTGCCAAGTCCAGGGACACTTGAAAGCCTGTTTCATCACATCGTTCAGAAGCTCCCGATGCAAGACAAGCATGTTGTTCTACACAAAAGGGAAGTGACTCATCAGGGTGGGCCAGTGTGACCTCATGGACCTTTCTTTGAGGTTCGACTCTGAGGACTTCTGGTGCCACCCCACTAGCCGCCTCCAGTTGAGGGGACATCAGCTAGCATTTCCAAGGCAACAACTTAAAAGATTTGTTTTAAGTTAAAATTTTAATTTATTTTAACACACCTCAATGAAGTAGGGAAAAGGCAAAATACAAGGCATATACAGCATATCAAAGAGGCAGCCTTTTAGAAATCATGCTGTAGAAAAGATAAAGCAGGACATGTGGTGAACTAGTTCAATCAAGCTTTTATGATACCATATGTAAATACGACAATCTGAAGAATTTGGCAAAGATTTATTTTTGTTTATCTCCAGTTTAAGTCGATACATCTGCTTACAGTAAAGCTGTGTAAGAGCACACAAAAGCTGAACACAAACAGTAAGATCAGACCCAGCAATCCAGAGCTGCAGAGTAAGACCAAGTAGGTGCCTTCAACAGAAGTTCAACCGTCCAGGTGATGGCGGACAATCAGGGGCTGGGGTCTGCACCCGGCAGAAGGCCCTCAGGGTGCCGGCTGCACAGTGGAGCCTGCAGCTGTACCCGGGTTCCATGGCTCCTGATGGAGACAGCCCACGTCCACTACATCTAACATGCCGTTGAAAACAGGGATTATAAGGCCACAGTATTTCTTTTGGACGAACCCCTTACTGTAGTAACTTTTTCCTATTAATGTAGTTCAGTCTTTTGAAATATAAATTATTTTAACAATTAAGGTTACAGTTAATTTTTTAATTACTACATAATAACTATTAAATTATTTATACTATTTATACCTAATATCCAAAGGAAATTTACTACCAAATCTTACAGTAACTATCAGTCTGACATGCTTATTAATTGATCCCATAGGTATAATTACAGGCCAGCATGATTTTAGTGTCTGCTGTTTCCATTTTACTAAGTTATGAGCGCAGCATTTATGGAACAAATAAACTCAAGTGGTGCGGCCACCCAAGGATCACCATAGCCCAGCCGTCAGCTCAGGAGGGAATCCCAGCACGCCAACAGCGCCAGTCCACATCTCCCTCAAAAGGTGCTGGTGGAGGTTGTCAGGCGCCTCCCAATGTAGATCCTGTCAGAACAGTGACCAAGTCAGTGGGGCCTCCAGCTCTCAGGTGGCTCTGCTCAGCTAGACAGGCAGCTCAAGGTGGCTACAGCTTTGGAGGGACTGGCTATTTTATACCCATTTAAAATGTTTGTGATGACATCTGTAATCCTTCATCAAGTGGTTTACTCAAAACGCCCAGTTGTGTCCTCACAGTGCACAACACAGGTGACCAGCTGGGGTTGCAGGTCGGGGGCAGAGCACCTGACTGGCAAGCACAAGGCTCTGGGCTCGTCCTCAGCACCAGGAAAACAAAGGGTCTAAGTAGGATACCAATCAAGTAGAAGTGCTGTTGCGACCCAGAACAGCCTTTTCACTGTTTGTAAAGTAATCCAACACAGTGTTGGAAGACACTCCCAGGGCAGGTGGCACCACTATCAGTCCATCATCCCCAACCTCAAATCCCAATCACTGAATCAGGAAGCCCTGCCTACAGCAGCCCAAGCCTGGTCCCAGTGGATACCTGAAAAGCAGGGGATATCGCTTAAGAGGGCATGGGGCAGGCCAGGAATGGAGGAAGAGACGGCAGACCATGAGCTTTCTGGGACCAACTATAGAGGGTGGTTTTCATGCTGCTCATGATGGGAAGCTGCTGAGAAGCTTGGGGTGGGTTTGGAACCATCAGTCTCCAAAAGACTGAGCAGGATGAAGGGCAGGGACTGTAGCCAGAAACTGGCTGCAGAAAACCATCCTGAAAGGCACAGCTAATCTGCGCATTTAGAATAGGTATTACCAGGCCCTTCTTGCTAGTTCTGGGAAAAGCTCAAAAAAATCAGTACCTAACCACATCATTGGTGAGACTGATGCACACTAATTCTGAGCCCAAAGCCAAAATGAAGATGATGGATTGGAGCCTTCCTTGAGACAAAGAACCAGGAGAGTCACACACAGGCAGCCAGAGAGAGGTGCCAGCCCAGCAAGAAGAGGGATGAGGTTCATTGTGGATTGCGGTCACTCTTTAAGGAGCCTCTGGCTCACCCAGGAAGCCATGTCCACAGCAGGTGGAACCATGGGCCAAGGAGGGGGCTGGATGTGACCCAAGGACCACAGCTCTCACAACCTACAGCAGGGAAGCGACCAGATGTGATCCGCCACAAAGGAGATTCTGGGGAAAAAGGGTGACCATGCCACAGAACCTTTCATCCTGTGCCCTGTTGTCCCCCCCCACACAAACACAAGCCCTCCAGCCAACCTAAGCCAGAACCAGTGCCAGCAGCCGGCTCTCCAGGAACCACAACCAGCACACTGCCCATCTCGGGAGACGGCCACATGCCTGGCAGCTAAGGGAAGAACAGCTCCACTCAGCACCGTCCAGCTGGAGGTTTTAGAATCACAACAGCACCTGCCTGGACTCCCAATGCTTCCTGCAGTTACTTAGCACATGAAGCCAGAAATCTAGAGACCTTGTTTTTTCTGTTGCTGCTGAGAATGGAAGAGAACAATCCCCTGCCACCCACAGTGAAGGGGACAGGTCAGTGCAATGCCACACAGGAGTGCACTAATCCAGACCACACAAAGCAGTCCAGGAACAGAAGGTGGACGCAGTCCTATGCAAGGAGAAGGGCTAAAGGACAGCTAGAGGGCCTTCCAGAGTTGCCCGTGTTTCCCTTTCGTGACCAGTGACAATGTGGTTGTCTGTGAAGCCGCGCCCAGCTATCGCTTATGTGCAGATTTGGGAGACTCTGCACCCTCCCAAGGCCCACTGTCAGGGTTGCATGGTAACATCACCTACCCCAATCCAATGGCCAGGAGATGGGACAGCAGCAGAGACGGAAGAAAGACCTTGAGGAACTCTGCCGAGAAGATGCCCCCCTTCTTCATGACACTGGTGTTTCTCATGCTGAGCGTGGCCGTGCGCTTGGGGTGTCGGAAGAGGAACTCCCTGGGCGGGGAGAAACACGGCGGTCAGTGCACCCGTCACCACAGAGCCCCTGGTGCTGAACGCAGACTTACTTGGGGGGGATGTTTTCTGGCCGACTTGACCAATCCCATATCCAGTCTGAGTTTTTCTTTAAGATGCTTTCGACCTCTTTCCTTCTCTCAAGATAATCTTCCTCGGACTAAGATAAAGCAAATATTTAAAGCAGATTAATTAGCCTACCACAGTCACACCAGGAAGCACGAGATCAGCCAGCCAGACAGCCTGAAGACACAGGTCCACTCCTCCAGCCACAATCTGGGGGCTGGTGAACAGGGTCACCCCCAAGAGCAGACCCCCCAGCTGGGAAGTCCCCCCAGCCCATCAGGACCCCGGTGAGACAGCGAGCTTCTGTCAGCACTGAGAGCTGCAAACATGACACCACGAAGGGAGGACAAAGGTGGTGACCGCAGCTATGTGACCCAGCGACCTGAAGGAAGCAAGCTCTGTGCAGCCAGGGTGTCCCAGGAGAGGCAGGAGCACTCACCATCATAGCTGAGCTGCACTAAAGACCTACTAACTTCAAGGAACTTGACAATCCGGGACTACAGTGCTTCTTAACTCTGCTGCATTGCATTTTCAAGATTCTGTGCCTGGGCATGCAATTCCTTTCTGGGGGGGCGGGGTATGTAAAATAGCGGAAACCCTCTAGAATGCAGTGCCAAACCTACAGATGTATGGATGCGAAGCTGGACAGGGACCTCAAACATCTGGAAAGAGGTGACACCTGGGGCACAGCCAGATTCTTACTCGCTACCAGGTTCTTGCTGAGCTCTGGCAGCCTTAGAACCCTGTCTGGGGCACGGAGACGTCCCAGAGAAAGCAGGGGTAGCAGGGAGCCCGAGAGGAACTGAACAGAAGGAAGAAGGACTCGTGCAACCCGAGACCCTGCTTCAGGCTAAGGCAACTCTTGAGCCAATTACAGGGGGAAACACCACTGTTCCGTCCTCACTGTTGTTGACTATCCCAGAGGGTGTCCCCTGCACATACACGGTGTGCACAAGGCACAGCTCTGAGACCTTAGCTGCGCGTCACCATCACTGCCTCAAAGTCCACGCAGGAGAAGGGGGACACACTCAACTGTCTCTTTGCCTCCCAGGCTGAGACCTTTAGAAGGCTTTGTGGCCTGTCCATGTTGGAAGTTACCAGTTCCTGAGCTACTAACACAAACCGCCATCAAGCACCAGTTAGCATCAGGTGCAGAACAGATGACAGTGCCTAGGGAGACGCCCAGAAGCCACAGGCACCTGGGGGCACCATAACCAGCTCTCAGCCACCCTCCCAGGGGCCAGGAGGCCCCCAGTGCAGCCCCATCCATGCCTCCCCTGGCCAGCCCACCATGAAGGCCATGTGCTGTGGGTGACCCCACAAGATTTTTTTTCCCAAAGGCACGAGACGCCCCAAGGGCCAGCCCGTGCTCAGGTGCCCTAGGAAGCCCACACGCCCTCCAGCTCACCTGAGAGCTGTTCTTCTCGCCGATGCTGTGGGCATCTGTTTCTGAAGCTCTCGTGTTTTCTTGTGGCGTCTGTGAGCGTGGTGGGCTTGGTAACAATGTGAACAGAGTGGGGAAAAAAACAGCGTCACGTTAACGTTCTGTGTTCAGAAGCAAACGCCCCTGGCTGCAAGCAGTGCAGATGCCTGTAACCCTAGCTACTCAGGAGACTGAGGCAGCGGATGCGAATTGGAGGCCAGCCTGGGCAACTCAGCAAGGCCCTGTTGCCAAACAACAAGGGCTGGGAAACAGCTCTGCCGTCAAGGGAGCCCATCCTGTGCAAGGCCACGCTTCAGTCCCCAGAACCAAAAAACAGGCAGCAAAACCCAAGACAGGGGCTCAGCTAAGCACAGGACGCAGGGCAGCTGCCAGCCACAGGCAGGGCCAGATGCTCCCAGTCTTCCTAGGTGGGACCTCTTATTCCCCGGCAGTCGGCTATAGCTGGCTCTGGTCGGTGGCTCCCAGCCATGCCACCATGGGCTCACTGCCAAGCCAGGGGAGGGCATGAGTGCTTCTCAGAGGCAGTCAGCTAAACACAGAGCCCAGAGACACAGTTCCACTCCTCTGGCCACAGTCCAGGGACTCGTGAACAGGGTCACCCCCAAGGGCAGACCCCAGCCGGGAAGTCCCCCCAGCCCATCAGGACTATGGTGCCGAGGTTCATGCCGAGTGACCTCAGGAGTGCCTTCACCATGCTGGCTGGCGTGAGGGGCAGAAGGGACCCTTTTGCTGAGTGTTCTGGCCTCAACACAGTCTCCAGAGAAGCCCCAGGTCTCCCACCCCAGACAGCAGGCTCCTGCTATGCCAGGACTCCCAAGAGCACCCCTTTGTTTAGCCTCAGCCAAAAGGCCCCGGGGTCCTTGCAGGTCACAGGGGCATGTGCACCTGTGCCTGCCCATCTCTTAGGGAAGTCAACTCTGGGGTACACACATGTACTGACCCTACCTGTCACAGTGAGAGCTCTTGGAACTACTCCGTCCAGATTCGTGCTGGGCGTCCAGCAGTATTTTTTCCATGTCACCATTATAAATAGACACTGAGGCTGGAACACCGCTCCCATTCCCGTTGCTGAAGTGCAGCTCCACCCAGGAGCCTAGGGACCAAAAAGAGGCATGGCTGGAACTCTCCACCCACTCTGGAATCTGGTCCTAACATAACCTGTCACCGCCCCCTTCCAAGAGAAGGAGTCACCCTGTGAGCCGTCGGGCCCACTCTGACCCACATCCCTCGTCTGCTGCCTCATTGGCCGTTTGCCATTTCTGTAAACCAAGCAGATGTCAGATAAACCTGTTGTGTCCTCAGAGTCCAGCTTGATCACTGTCTTGCAGTCAGCTTTTAGAAGAAAAGACTATCAAAAAAGTTTAAAGAATCAAACATTTCCTTTAGAAGATTCACTCTTAGCCTACTTCCACACCCCAGTATCACACACTGACCCGAGAAGATTCACTCTTAGCCTACTTCCTCACCCCAGTATCACACACTGACCCGAGGCCCTGTAAGATCCACACTGCTGCCTTTCATTTCAGTCTGACTGACCAGAACAAGCTACCCTTCAAGTAGGGCTTGGACGAATCTTGACACCGACACTCCACGATAAAAAGGTTGGGGATGTAGTTCAGTGGTGGAGTGTCCTGGATTCAAGACCCAGTAACAGGGGAAAAAAAAGGGGGGGGAGAAAGGGCAAGGCCAGCCTGGGCAGCTTAGCAAAATCCCATCTCAAAGTCAACAGCAGGATGACCTGATTTGTTTGTTTATAGAAAAGGCTTTGTTTACAAACACACAGCGTTAGGAGACAGGAGGGAGCATGACACGGGAGACTCATGGAGAAACGGCACTGTTCATGGCCGTTGCCCTTCTCCCCAGTACAGTGAGATCCACGCTCTGTCCTTAACCAACAGAGCAGCACCCTCATCGTCTGGGAGGAGTGCAGCCGACTAGTGACCTCTCAGCGCCCTCCGGAGGCAGGTGTAGGCTGGGGTCTCCTGAAGTGGCCTGGCCTCAGTGGGACACTGGATGGGGAGTGCGTCACATCAATCAGAAGAAAGCACATCGGAGGCACGGGAATTAAACTTGCCCTGGACCGCCTGGGCGAGTTCTCCAAGGGCCACATGAAACCCTAGAGCCTCCACGAGGTTCCCCCTGCCCTGCCCACAGGAGGCAGGCACCGTCCTCGCAGGCCGGACTGGGAGCCCTCAGGGACCTGACTAGCTCCAGGCACACTGACACTGGGCACCAGCACTAACTCTACCAATACCCTTCGGCAGCTGCCCCCTCGCTGGGCCTCAGGACACAGGCTGTCTAGCAGCCTCCGGGACATTCCCTTTTCTAGGCTCAACGAGGAGGCTGCGGTGCTGCCTGGGTCTCCCTGGTGTGTGACACCAGCAGGGTTTGAGACTTGGTGCAAGGAGCCTTTCCCCACCAATAACCAGCTCTCCAGCACCAAACGGCCCCCAACAGCTCAATTCTGACACTATCACCCACAAACTAAGGTACCCAGGCTACCCACACGACTACCTGGACACTGGCTGCAAATTTAGAGGTTCCCACACCCCACCCCACTGGCTCAGTACTGTGCTGTGACTCAGAGAACTCGGGAAAGACTACTTGTGTTCTGGACACCATTTGGAAAAGGCCAGAAGGACACAGCACACAGAAGCAGTGATGAGAGAAAGAAAGCTCCCACCTTCCCAACTCCCCTCCTGTCCCCCAGGGCACCAAGTTTCCACCCTCTGATGGCTTACTCGGTCCTTCTGGGGACCAACCCTTTGAGCTACAGAGGCCAGGGTCCCACTAAGGCAGCTCATCAGTGTCTACCTGAGTGTATCCCAGGACTTGAGCAAGACATGCCCATCACTCAGGAGACCTAGCTTAAGGAGGTCTGTGCCAGAGGCAGGGACAAGGACCAAATACGCAGTTCTTACGCAGGGGCACCCCGAACCTTGAAGGAAACAGTCTGTGCTGGTGACTCAGAACACCAGACTCAAAGGTGGTTGGTTCATAAAGAAGTTTGTTTCTCAAGTCTGAGGCCGGGAAGGCCAAGAGGAGCCCTAGCCTGTGGGGTCTGCTGCAGGCAGGAGGCACAAAAGGCACAGCCCCTCCCTCCACCCTCCTCCACCACACCAGGTCCTGCCCCACCCCCTGACAACCCCTGGGACAGGAGGAGCACACACCACCCCAGCAGTGCTGAGCCCCCAGGATCCTGAGAGAAAGGAGCACCCCATCCTGGCTCAGCAGCAGCACCATCTTTGGGTCTGAAAGCTCTACACAAGGAACGATTGGCTCAGGACAGAAGTCACTACTGCCCCACAACGACTGACCAGGAAACACCCTGCAGGACACTGTCCACCTGCTGAGGTCTTGCAGCTGGCCAGAAGAGCTGTTTAAGAAAGGCAGCTCTCAGGTTTCTCAACAAGCTCAGAAAACCACCTTGGGTTCCGAGTGAACCATTACGACAACTGATACCTTGGGCCTTAGCGGGGTGGGCCCTCACTCCAGTTCCACTTTACATCCCTCTCCTACCCTCACTTCCACCGCCACCATCAAGGCACAGCAAGGTGACCGGAGCTCCCCTGTGGATCCAGGTGAACTCAACAGAAAGCCCAGGCTATAAATATTTAGCCATTACAAAAAGAAACCCACAGGTCCACCTTACAGATCAAACACAATGCAGCGCCTCCGAGTTCCCAACCCACTTCCTCATCTCCCGTGAGCACAGCTGACCTCGGCTTCCGGCACTCCAGGGACTGCCCCAGCCTCCCTGCCCTGCGTCCCAAGACAGCCTTGCAGCTCTCTGTTCCCCAGCACTGAGCAACCACAGCCAGGAGAGCCCAGGAGAGAGCACACACAGGACCCCTGCCCCCGGCTGGGTGGCAGGACTCAACCCTGGCCACAGAGGAGGACCAGTGAGACTGACCTTGCTTCCCAGAAGCCACAGGGCTGATTTGGAATGCTGAGGCAGACACCCTGAAAGAGCTCTCGCCCGTCACCCACCCACTGTCCCAGCATCAGGAGGCCCAGCAGGAGGATGGCAAATTCAACCTGGGCAACTTAGTGAGACCCTGTCTCAAAACACAGGAATAAAGGAGCTGGGGACATAGCTCAGTAGTAAAGGGTCCTGGGCTTCAACCCCCAGTATACCACAAAATAAATAAAATGGCAAGTTCTACCAGACCCTAGCCAGGGTTGAAATACCCACCCAACAAGCAGCTCCCAAGCAGGCCCAGGGAAGCTCCCAGAGTGGCAGATGGTGGCGCACCCCAGGAGAAGCCCAGCAGTGGGCAAAGCCTGGAAGGAATCCAAGCCCCAAAGGACTCTCCCTAGAAGTGGGCCTCCGGAAACTGCTGTCTGCATTTAGAAGCCTCTTAGTTCTCAGGGGAGGACAAGGGCTGGAAATGGCACACATGTTGAGCATGAAGTCCACTGGGCCGGTGGCTGGCATCTAGGTGAGCCAACCACGCCTAACACATTCTCAGTCACCCGGGCTTCAGGTATTCCTCTGGAACTTAACACAGCACCTTCATTTTCCTTAACCATCCCTGTTGACGGGGAGCACTTAGCTATGCACTCATGGTCCTGGGGGGCCACACACATCCCACCCCCTCAGGCCACTGTGACACTGTGTTCTTAAAAAGTCCCAACTCCCTCCTGCACTTCAGCAGTAATATATCAAAAGAAAAATAAAGCCACAGTGCCCCCCCCACTTTAGAGCTTCAGCTGGACTGGACAGGGTGGGAAGGAGCACCAACCAATCAGTGCTGGCCTGTGGGCTGGGCTACCGGCCTGTGGGCTGGGCTACCAGCCTCTGCCGGCCCAGCTCGTGGTAAACAAGCCACAGTCCAATCAGAGCAGAGGCAGGGAGGGCAAGTGTGGCCAGCGAATCCCAGCCTGGATTCACATTTCCTGGGGCAGCTGAAGGCCCCATGTGACCAGTGACCCCTCCTACCCTAGCCAAAAGGCAAGCAAGTGCTGGGCTGCACGTAGACTCTGCACGTAGACTCGAGTGAGGCCCAAAGAATCCTCAACCGTGAGTTTCCATACTCTGGGTAACCACCTTTTTATAGAATAGCAATTCAGGAAAACAAAAATCTGTTTAACTCTTGGGCTGACAATCTTGCTGCCAATGACTCAGCAATTCAGGGGGGTGGCAACAAAGGAAGACAGCCCCTCGGAACCCTTCCAAGACACAAGACACTACAGCTGAAGTAACACACAATGTTAGACATAAAGCAGCTGATAACAAGAAAGAGTTCATGAAACACTCCCTGGATCAGATTTCATGACCAAAAAAAAAAAAAACCTCTCAAATCTATTTCAAAGAAGTTATTATCACTGTTTCAAAATTTGGTTGTAGTTTTAAATATTGTAAACTCAGCTACTTGGGAGGCTGAGGCAGGAGGATGGGGAGTTGGAGGCTAGCCTCAGCAATTTGAGACCCAGTCTCAAAATAAAAACTTAAAAAAAAAAAAAAAAAAAAGAGCTGTGGGTGTAGTTAAGTGACAGAGAGCTTACCTAGCATGGGTTCAATCCCCAGTACCTCCCCACCCTAAATGGGACATAGTCTACAATGTACTAGGCTAAGTAAATCCCGCCTAGTAAAACCTTTAGATAATAAATTAACAGCTCCCTAGACCTACCTGAATAGAAACTTCTAAAAAAAACTTAATGAAATTTCAAGCTTCACCCTCAAAGGTTTAAAAAGTCCTCTCCAAATGTATTCACATGCTCATTTTGTTCAGGGAACTCTTGCATCAGACAATACAAAGGTCAATTCCCCCTTGACTCTTGGACCCTTGGGATTGGGTAGAGGCTGGGGGCTGGCTTTATTCTGTGACCCATGCCTGCTCCACCCACCCCAGACCCACAGGTGGCAAGTGTAAAAGGCTAATCCCGGGGAGCCAGGACCAGCACCGGGAGCCAGCCGGCCTCTGCCCGGGAGCCCCGTCCGTGGGCTGGGGGCGGGCAGGCAGTGATCCTGGGGGAGAGGGGGCGGGTACGGGAACTGAACCCCGAACCCGTGCGCGCCATCACGGAGCTACACCCGTAACCATCTCATCATCCTGAGGCAGGATGCAGCAACCCGCCCAGGCCGCTAGG